AACATTGATTTTTCTCCTGTAAAATTCATTTCAGCATCTGTCCTCTAAAACTGTAAAATAATAAATTTGTGTTGTTTTAAGCCACCAAATTTGTGGCAATTAGTTACAGTAGCAATAGGAAGCCAATATATCTGGACTGCAGGTTTGGGGGTTGGAGGGTGGTGGTGAGGGCATGGAGCTTATTTTAGACCTCAGGATCTATGATGGCAGAAATCATGCCTGCTTTCTTCATCCTTGAATATGCAGCACCTGTCATTGTGCCCAGGATTTAGTAGATGTTCAGTAAGTACAAGAAATATTTGCTGAGTGAACAAAGACATGAATTAATTCATGCCAGAATGAAAGGTAAATGGGACTTGGGAGCTGACGCCTGGAGGATGACTAGAAGTAAGCAAGCGAGAAGGTGGTGGAGGTGGACCTGGAGAACCATAATGTAAGAGAAACACTGGCCGAGTGCCTCTCAGTAATGGCATAACGTGACTAAAGTGTTTTGGGACACAGCGTGTTAACAAGGTTAAAGGCAGATTTCTCCACATTTGAGCAATTTTTGTTTTCACTCAGAGAAATATGACTTCCATTTTATTATTTACATAGCTTGTTTCATGTATTTTGATTATTCAATCATGTACTCAACTACAAATCTGTGGTCTGTTGTCTGTAGATTGTTGGGGAGGGGGTATTTTTTATTCTCTTCCCTCTTTCCCTTTCCTTTGCTTAGTTACTGGTTCCCTTTGTTTTAGTTACTTCCAGATCTATTTGGTGCTCCCAAAAACCCACTGGATGTCTCCTGGACAACCTCCCAGTATCTTAAATTCACCCTCCTTCAAAATAAACGCATCTTCTCTTTTTAGGTACGCTCCTGGGTTCCCGACTAATCCTATTGGAGAGTTTCAAAGCTTCAGAATCATTTGTATTGCCCTCCCCTCTTCCCCCAACACCCAAACAGTGCCAGCTCTTTTCTTTACACGCTAAAATCTCTTTTAAGTCCATCCTCTCTCTCCATTTTCATAACCCTGTGACCAAAGCAGAGGAAGATGGTGCTGTCACCCCCTTTTCTTGGATTAGCATCACCCCACCCTTCTTGCTTGTGTTCCTGCAGACTGCATTCAGATCAGTACTTCCAAATCCCAGTTTTAAGCACCCTTTCCTGTATGTGTGCCTGCCTTCAAGAGGGACTCAAGTTCTCTCTAACAAACTGTATGATCCAGAGCAAGTTAGTTAGCCCCTATGAGCCTCAACTTCTTCACCAGTGAAATGAAGAGTATCCTATTATCTATTTGAAAATGAAAGTATAGTACTTACCTATTACCTATTTCAGAGTTATTGAGAAGAATAACGTCCTTTGAAAACTGTGAACTGCTATACAAATATCATTTATCATTATAATTTTCATTCATTGACCAAATGTTCATTGGAGAATGAAGGATAATGCAATGGAAATTTAAAATGCATTCTTTGCCTTAAAAATCTAGTTAGAAGAAAAATATGCACAAATAAATCTATACTCTATAACCATATAAGGCAATATGTGATTGAGTGAAGCATGTGGTATCCTCTCTGTTTTACTATCACAATGAGCTCCATTTTACAGCTGGAGATATTGAATTCCAGGCTGCACTTAACTATATATTCCCCTGTATGGGTCTGGTTGACTTCTCTTTCTACCTAAAGGGATTGCCAAGGAGTGTGTCCCTTCAATTTATTTTACTTCTCTATTAAACCTTGAACAAAGTCTAAGATTTGGATTGGCAGAGAAGGGAAATGGTTCTATTCAGGAGAATCCAAATAAAGGCTGAGCCAGGGAAGATTAAATTAGACATAGGGGCCCTGAATTGATCTATCTGACTTGGATGGAGGACTTGTGTAACGTGTAGTAAAAGAGCAATCAGTTTGAGAAGATAAGGAAGGGTTTTACGTGCCCTGTTGAGGAGTTGGGTACTTGATCCTCAGACAGGAACCATTATAATTTTTTAAGCATAAGTGGGATGTTAAAGCAAAGGTGATTTAAGATTAATCTGTCATTACATCACAGGATAGAATAGAGCCATGATGGCCATTACATCTCAACTTGCGTGTCAACTCTAACCATGTGCAGTAGCTTCTGCAGCCCCATGTTGAGAAGATTCTCAGGCTACTTTGGCTCATAGGAGGAAGTACCTTGATCTATTAGTTCTTTCTGATGTGAGCACAGGAAACTGAGTATTTTCTATCCATGGAATAAAACCAAGAATGTCTTACAGCAGGAAAAAACCCAACACCAATATGAAAGTTGCACTAATTCATTTTGAACATGGTTAAGGACAGAATCAGAGTCACAGAAGTGAAAACATTAAAGTAATAAAACCAAGAGTTATAGGTTTTGGTAATTAAATTGAGAAAGGAAATAAAGAACACGAGCAGTAAACGTAACCTTAGTGTTTAAAGCATAGGGAGATGAGAGCAGGATGGTGTTCCTGAACAAGAGGGAGAGATGGGAGGACCCAGGACACTTTGGAGTGTCAGAAGAAGGAAGAGGAGGAGAATGCCGGAAGTAATATTCTGGTCAACCAGTTCTGACTACTATTAAAGAGCTTCTGGGTGCCAAAGGTTTCACAAGGACACAGCAAATGTGACAGTGCCCATCAGCTACTGTTCTGTGCAAAGTGGGCCTGGTCTAGTGATGCAGAGGTGAGAAGGTCCTTAAAAAGTTTCCAGATTAGTAGGAGAGAAAGATATTGAAGAAGTTACCAGTAAACAAGTACTATACCAGCATTTGATAAGTGTTCTTTGAAAGCACAAGGCAGGAGAAAGTAAATTTGCCACAAGAAGTCAGAAAAGACTAGAGAAGCTAACACCTGAGCTGCATCCATGTTGATATGAGTCATGCAATTGATTAATATATTTATATAATATTTATTTTATTCTGATCTACTCTATATGTTATATATCTATTTGTGATATATACAGTAATATAATAGATATAATAGATATAATATGTATTTTATCATCTTATATAAACATTCCATATGTTCTTTTTCTATTTACTGTTAATATATATTTTAGTTGTTTCCAGGTTTGGGGGAATTATAAATAAAGCTGCTAGGAAGAATCTTGTATATGTTTCCAGGTACAAATATTAAGAGATTCATTTTTTTATTGTCTTTAGAAGTGCAAAAATTAATATTATTCAGTTTTTCCTGTTTTTTAAGTTTACATAAATGGAATTTGAATTTTACAATGTTTTCTTTTGTCTCCCATTTTTTTTGCCCCATTATGTTTATCAGACTCATCCCATTTTCATAACTGTGTCAGTATACCACGTAATAAACATATCAAATAAAAACTCAAATGTATACATATATCATAGTTTATTTATGCCTGCTACATTTTTTTAGAAATATGAGCAGTTTCCAGGTCTGGATAGTTACAAACAGTACTGTGTAAATATCTTGTTTGTGTAATACACATAAGCTCTCATTTCTTTGGGATGTATAACTAGGAGTGGAATTGCTGGTCATAGGGAATGTATATCTTCACCTTTACATGATATGCCAAACTGTGTTCCAAGGTGTTTGTAACAGTTTACACTCTCACTAGCATTACAAGAGATTTCTTGTTGCCCTATATTCCCACCAACCCTTGATATCATCAGGTTCTTACATTTTTTACCAATTTTATATGCACAGTGTTATTTATTGTGGATTAAATTCAAATTTCCCCAATAATTATTATGAATAATAACAGTGAAGTTAAGCATATTCTCATATGTTTATTGGTAAATTTGAAAATATCTCTTTTTGTGAAATGCCTGTTCATGTCTTTTGTCCATTTTTCTATTGGGTCATCTGCCTTTTTCACTCCTTGATTTGTTGGGGAGTGCAATCCTTTCTCCATTTCATACGTTACATCTATCTTCTTTCTCTCTGGCCTTATCTTTTCATGCTTTATGTGGTGCCTTGTGGTAAACAAAAGTTGTTAATAATAATCTAGTGAAGTTTAATGATCGTTGTCTTTATGATTAATGCCTTACATTTCTTGTATATATTGTCCTATATTCCCTTCTAAATTTATATTTTGTCTACCACTCTTAGGACTTTAACCCACCCGGTACTGATTTGGGGGTGTGGTGTGGAGTAGTCTAATCTCATTCATTATGGATATATGATTGTCTCATCATCGTATATTAACAAGACTGTCCTTTCCTCACTGCTCTCAGTGCCACTTTTGTCACAAATCAAACACGAACATGTGTGAGTTTTTTGCCCTCCCCCGCCCCGGGCTCTCTACTCTGTCCTATTAATCTGTTCCTTTATCTCTGAACCAATACCACACTGCATTGATTATCACAGATTTATAAAACATCTTGATCACTAAGAAAATATGCTCTCCCTCTTGTTCAGTCTTGCCTGTTCTAGGCCATTTAAGTTTCTATACAAAATTTGGAATGAGCTTATCAATTGCCATTAAAATGTCCTGTTATAATTTTAATTGGGATTATATTTATAAATAAATTCAAGAACTGACATCTCTTTGATACTGAGTATTCTAATTAATGGACACTGTATTTCCCTTCATTTATTTATAAATACCATTTATTTAAGTGCTTCAGGTGTTTATAATGTCTCATAATAAAGTTTTACACCTTCATCCTGTGTAGGTCTACACATCTTTACATAAATTTACTTCTAAAGGAGAGAGAACAGGAGGAAAGAGTAGGAGGATGAGGAGGAGGAAGAAGAGAAGAAGGAAGTGAGGAGGAGAAGGGGAGAAGAGGAAGAAAAAAGTTAGAGAGGAGGAGGGGGGAGAAGGACAGAGCAGGGAAGGGAGGAGGAGGACTGAGGAGGAGAAAGTGGGAGGAGGGAGGAAAAGGGGGGATTGTGGAGGGTAGAGGAAGATGAGGGGGAGAGAGGAGGGAGGAGGCGAGAGGAAGGAGGCAGAGGGGGAGAAGAAGGGAATATTTCATTTTCTGGTCTATATGCAAGTCAGAACACTTAGATTTTTTGTTTTTTAAGCTAACTCACCATTGCAGTTGCCATTGGATAGAGAATTGAGCAACGTGTTTTGTTCACACTGAAATGAAAACAAATATAAAGAAGAATAACATTTAAAAAATTCATTTCTGTCTCTGAAAAAAGCACATCATTCTTTTCTCCATGAATAACAAAAAACTAGCCTCCAATAATTATTTTTCACTAGATTTTTTTTCAGAATGATAAATACAACAAACTGAAATAATAAAATGATCATTAGTTCTAAGTGTTTACTAGCTTGGTAGATAATTTATGTTATCAAGTTAGACTATCTTCTTTAGAACATTTTCTACAAGACTAAGTTTTTTTGATTTTTGACCAGGAACTAAATGTTTGCATGTATTTTTTCATGTAGCATATCCAATCAGAAATTCACCTCATTAACACAGTATTTTCTGAGCGAGAGCCATTAACCATATATTTCATACTATACAAAAGTTAACTGTTCATCTGTGGGTCCACAAAAATGCCTGAGAAACATTCCTGATTTATGAAAATGCTGGAGAATGAAAATGACTCTGTATCCTACAATTAAACTTCCTTGAAATTGACAGTAATTGATGACTTTAGCAAGATGACATGTAATCTACTTCTCAAATAATGTATTATTATTATTATTGTTAATGATGATGATAGCAACCAATATTTTTTACTTCTTACTATATATCAAGGACTTTACACTAATTATTTAATCCTCAGAACAAGCCTATGAAGTTATTAATCTCATTTTTCATATGAGGGAGCAGAAGATTGGAAAGGTTAAATAACTTGACCAAAGTCATAAAGCTAGTAAGAACCTGGGCTAACCCCAGATCTCATGCCTTTCCATTCTGAACCTCATGCTCCCAACCGCTACATCATACTCTTTCTCCCGTGGAATCAATTTTCACCTTAGAGGCTGACTAGAGAACATCTACCTGTTTTCTCTTCAGATACTCAGTGGTGCAGCTTATCTATTTTAAGTATGGCTCTGACAGCTATCACCAGGTTATGTTACACTTCTAACTCTCAATTTTTCCTCTGTGTAACACTCAGGTAATGCCTCTTACATGATGGGGCTGGTGATAACTAAATTAGACAGCCTAATTAAGGAGGCTGGCCCCCGAAAGAGAGAGTCAATGAATGCGCGTTTCCTTCTCCTCCTTTTAAAAACACTTTGTCTGAATCTCTGTGCAAAAGAATTTCAAACAATTTATGTACATACTCCACCTTCAAGAAGGTGGGGCACAGCTCCACACTCTTTTAGTGCGGACTGCACATAATGACTTGCTTGCAAAGACAACAGCATGGAAAGGCGAAAAATAGAGGAACTTTACAGTGGAGAAACCTGACAAACACTACCTCACTCAGGTGATCAAGGCTAACAATAACAGTGATAAATCATGGTGATAGTATGTACCCTTGATATGACATGATGAACATAGCACTGCACCTCTATAGTCTTCCTCCTAAAAACCCACATCCCTGGCCTTACCAAGAGAAAAACACCAGATAAACTCCAATAGAGGGGCATTCTATAAAATACCTGACCATTACTACTCAAAATTGTCCAGGTCATCAAAAAAGGAAAGTCTGGGAAACTGTCACAGCAAAGAGGAATCTAAGGAAATAGGACAATTAAATGTAACGAGATATACCAGTTGGAATCCTGGAACAGAAAAAGGACATTTGGTAAAACTAAGGAGATCTGAATAAAGCATGGACTTTAGTTAATGATAATGTATCCACATTGGTTCACTGATTGTAGCAAATACGTCACACTAATGCAAAATCTTAATAATAGCAGAAACTGTATGATGCAGGGTATATAGAAACTCTCTATATTAACTTCTCAATTTTTTTGTAAATCTAAAACTGTTCCAAAAAACAAAGTCTACTTAAAAAAATACATGTTCTGAGCAAAAGAAAATTTTAAATAGCAGACTGAAACTTCTCTTGCAAAGTGAGGCCACAAAATAGTGATTAATATTATTACATGAGTATCTGTACAAGAATAAGCACAAATCCATCAAACACTAGCCCCCTGAGATCCGCCTAAGCTCCTGCATACGGGGAGATAGTCAATGGTGATCTATGGGAAGTCTATCGCCACAGTACGGCAAAACAGGCAATCATTTTTTAGTCTGTGTTTTGAATAGGATGTGATTCTCCCTGTGCTGGGGTGTTTTAAATGCCGTTCCATCACCACCATCTGTTGAAAATGCAGCTGCCGGAGAAGAGAAGACCGAGGCCCCGGCAGAACACTCCAGTTAAGACAGAACCGCAGACCACTGTGTGCAGCAGATAAAAGGAGACAAAGCTGCAGTAGAAATTAATTGATGCAGACTCGTTACTCTAAAACGGAACTTGGAACAAGTGCACAGGCCTTAAAACAAGAAGCAGATATCCCAGACAGACAGTGCGTGAAAAGAATAATATGAGCCGCCCAAAGGAGCCTCCACTCTACTCAAGGCCACCCATTTAATCATTGAATAAAGGGTTATCCCCAGGGCCTCAGACAGCCATGCTTCCTTCCAGATGACCGTCTGAATCCTTGGTGTATCCTTTAAAACTCACAGTACATAAATACACACAATATTGCATCATTCTCATTCTAGTGGAACTCAATCTCAGCAAATCCTTTCTCACCATCATAGACTTCTGAGTTAAAGAATCCCTTTGGGTGTGATTATCTACCAATAACCTAGATCCAATGAACTCTATTTGTTTATTAGACTCAAATTTCTGAAGTCCCAGGTAGATAAAATGGTGTAAGTGGAGCCTCCTCACAGAAGACTGTGTTAATGAGGTTTACTGCTGACTTGACATGCTACAAGATAAACACATGCCAATTTTCATTTCTGAAAACAAACTGGAACAACCTCAGTCTTACAGGAAAATGTTCTAAGGAAAACACTATCGACTATCAATAAATAGTTATGAGAGTCTTCACGTCAGGTACTCTACTAGATATGATAAAGCCCACAAAGTAGTATACCACTTCAAGGAGTAAATTTACATTTTGGTAAAATAAGACCACAAACTTCTTGTGGGTTAATTAGGTTATTTGGAACTCTGGACAAATTTTTCCACATTACTGTTATGCATCATGGTTATGAGCTTAAGTTGGTCACAAGAACCCACCTATCTCATGATACAGCTGAATGTTGCCACAAGGTACAGCATGGCTTTGTGAAAGAAATATTCCTAGTATCCAAACTGAACAACTAGGAACGTCTCTCTGCCTTTGGCTTGAGAGGAAGTTCTTCTCAACCCCAAATCACAGTTGGTGGTTCCTAATAATCTATGAAAGTGACATCCTAAAGAACACAGTGAGGGGAAAAGACTGGTCTGGAGATATATAAGCAGGGTCAGCTTCCTTGGCTTGTGACCTGTACAGTCCCGTAGGGCTCCATGCTTAGAAAGATTTCCCATCTGCTGTCACCATCTTGAAATTCTTAATAATTGTGGAACAAGGGACCTCACATTTTCATTTTGCATTGTGTCCAGCAAATTATATATCTGATCCTATATTTAGGGCCTCTATGGTACAGATCAGTATGAGGCCCAGAGGCAGAAGCATGAAGCTGCAAAGGATAGGAATGTGGTACTGGACAGCTCCTGAGACACCAGAAATGAGAGGGTCAAGATCTCCTATGTACCTGAGTGACTGGGAGATAATATATGTTCAAGGATACAAGAGAAAGACAGCTTTGTGATCTGGAGTAGTCAAGGAAAGCTTCATGGAGAGGGTACTATTTGTACTCAATCAAACTAATAATATTAGCTAAGACTTTACAGTTTGAGTAGGACAGGCACTATTCTAAGTGCTTTGTATATATTAACTCATTTTGTCATCCCAATTACAGATGAGGAAGCGGAATCACAAAAGGTTCAATTACTAGGTTAAGTTCCCACAGCTCGTAAGTGGCAAACCCAGGAGCTTAGCTCCAAAATCCGTGCTCTTAAAATTGTAGAGGGCTTAAGGATTCAAACAATCACAGATAGCTCATTTATGTGAAACCATCCTGATGCACATTTGATTCAATATCTCTGTTAATTGAGATGACTTATAGAGAGAAAGAATGCTAGCATTTCATAATAATGTTATCATAATGATAGCAAAAGTCTATGCTTCTGTGAAATCAGTTATCATATTCTATCTCTTTTAGATTTGGATCTGACTCTTCTTTCTTCTGGTAAAAAGGTCCTTTAAGATAAGTGATTTGTCTTATTTATTCTTCTCAGGGTTATAGTACCTAGTACACATGTCTATTAGATATATGCTGAATGAATAAATGAATGAACAAATGAATGAGTGAGAGTGATTACCTAAAAGCTAACTACAAGAACCAAATAAAAAGTAAAATATAATATAAGGTTTTGCTGAGGAGAGAGGTCTCCAAACACTTTTATAATGTATTATATTTACATGATACATTTTTAGTATCATGATATAAGGTTACCTGCTTCCTGTAGCATGACCCTGTAATCATGAAACGGTTGATCCTACCTTGCTGATATCATCCTGTAACTGGTTGCTGGCATTTTCCTTTTGGATTACATTTATTAGATCGGTATGAAACTTCTTCACATTCAGGAAAACAAGTGGATTGTTTATTGAGATAATTTTCACCTGCTGCAGGGTTTCCTTTTGGAGGAGAAAAGGAATAGATTCAGAGTTCTGAATGAAATAAAAAGAGGAAAACTCTATCCAATGGTCTACATCTTACAAGTCCAAATGTTACTCAATCATGGAAGCAATCTCTTAGCTAACATTTTCATTATTAAAATGTACTTGGAGAACTTAATATACTATCACGCTTCTTAGGGAAAACATGTACTTCCTCTTTACTAAGAAACACTAACAAGCATGAGATGAGTCTGCAGCTTTTCAGAAAACTGCCCTTATTCCTACTGACTGGGTTTTGGTGGGGCGACAGCCTAGAATATCCAAAGAGTACCAGGAAGACCTATCCTCCCAAAAGTACCTTTCCACTCAATCTAGAAATTAAAAATTCATTTACTTAACCTACAGTATTTTTAAAAAATAAAAAATGTCCTGAAGAGTCAACCATTAGTCATTTACCTCATAACAACCTAGCCTTCTTTCAGTTGGAATATAACGTTACTAGTGATTGATAGTACTAACTGGAGAAGGAAACCAAGAGGTAGTATCAGGAATGTAACTTCACTTTGGGCCTAGGTTACATTGGATTAAGATAGTCAGAAGGAAAAGTTTCAACACAAAAGGTGACTGCTTTGGCCATTTGCCCAGGTCTTCCTGACAGCAATTGGTGGTATGCAACTAAAAATGTCTTCTCCACTACCTTTGGGGCAGTCGTCTGATCTAGAAATTGAGAGGATGGTAAGTTCTATGAAATGGTAAGTCCTTACCAACTAAATAAAGCAGTATTCCTTCAGGCTTCAGTACTCACATAGAAGAGGAGATGCAGAGAATAGTGAAGCACACAGGCAAGAAACAAAGAGAGAAGAAAATACTAGGTCCGTGAATTTGGACACTTCATCTAACCTCTCTCAGTTTCCTATTTTTAAAAATTAAGTAAATATTTAAATTAGATAGTCTCAAAAGTTTCTACAGCTACAAAACTGATTATACTCTAGAAAGGGAGATTTGCTACAAATAAACAACTCAAGAAAACAAAAGTCCTTAAGTTACCAAACTAACTTTTAATCAAGAGTAAATCTCTTACAAAACAAAGTAACACAATTCTTCAGCCTGTCATATTTAGTTTTCACAAAGCCCCACATGGTAGATTGACCCACTAATCACACCACATGACTGTGCAAAATGTTGTTTTAAGTTAAGATAATATTTGTTTTGAAAGAGAGGTATTTGTTAGAGATTCAAATTGTGCCAGAAAAGAAATTCTCAGTGGTGTGAATTCACTGAGTGGGAAGAGATCTCTCACATTGAGGACGAGTGTTCCACGTGACGAAGGGCTGCAAGAGTGCATGAATGGAAGAGAGGAGCAACAGGTTACCACCACACTCTCAGTTAGCTATAAATGTCACCTACCAGTTCATAGTCAAACCTTACTTTATCTTAGTTTTTTTCCCTCTTATTTTTGATACAAAACACTAAATAACTAGTGAGGTATAATATTCTAATAAAATTAAGATTTCCATGTGACAGTTATTATTCAGGTGGATGACTACACTGGAACTAAAGTTTAAAGACATGGAGAAATTTCAGCATTTTCATCTTCCTACAAATCCCCTCATTCACTTCCCCACATGTTTAGACTGAGAAGAAGGTAAGGATTAGATAGAGTTTATTAACCAGTGATCTTTAAGCTAAAGAATAGTCAAACTTGAATTCTGTTTCAAAGTTAAGAATGTCAAGGTTAATGTACATAGCTCTATGTGTGGGGCAGATACACAGAGGAATTCTGGGGCCTGAAAATCAGTCTGGGACTTTGCAAAAGCACTAAATTCCTATGGAAAATTTAAAGAAAGAGATAGGAAAGAAACGAAAGGCAGCATTGGTAGAAAACTTGAGCCTGGGACACCCTCAAAGGCTCTGAACTTAAATAGCTCTCTATAAAGCAAATCTAAAAACTTATTAAAAACACAAGCCATTTTCCTGGATGTCACAGGACTCCTGGTGCTACTTCCTACTTCCAGTGTACTCAGAAATACCCTGACATTGGTCCCTCTGGTGGGAGGCCAGTTCTCTCTGTTCTGAGGGCAATCATGAGATACTGAAACAAATAAATGTGAAAAATAAAGAAAAAAAGGTTAGCCAAACATTTACAAAGCAGATTGAAAGTGAGGCCAATTTTTAAAAAGTCGCAAAAAATTCAAGTCACCATTTCTTTCCCTCACTTTAAACTTGCTTTGGTCATCCCTTAGAATAAGAAACTAGAACTCAAGCACAGCTGGCTTGCCTAAGCATGGACAGGGTGAGACAATTTATGTAAGTTGTTTCCTTAAAAAGGTGTCCACTGTGCAAGAAACCAATCCCACCAGCACTCTATAACCACTGGACTTAATTTCTCTCTGCTAATAATACAGTCTCATTGACTCTGTTAAAAACAAAAAACAAAACACACCAATACCATGATCCAACTTTGCCTTATTCCCTTCTCTATTCCCTATCTTCCTTCACCATTTAATTCAGAATAGACTATTAGTTTAGTTTGACTGTTTTACGCAACTTAGTAATGGAAAAGAGGTTTCCAAATGCCTGAAATACTCCAGACCATGATTCTACTGTGAACTGTAGTTCCATGAACCAAGCTATCATCTTATCTGAATGCTAACACAAGATTTTTGTTGTTGTTGTTGTTCTATTGATTTGTTGCATATCAATTGCCATACGTATGGTGGTCACACATATACCATTGTAAGTTCACACTAATTAAAAATAGAATTCTCATATTTTTAAATGTTATAATTTATCTGCTTCTTACGATATCTTAAAACTGTCTGATCCACAAAAATTGTTAATAATTGCACAAAGGAAAAGGAAACTAAACTTACGCCATCCATTTCTGTCTTCACTTTAAATTCTATTTCTTTTACGTTTTTTATATGCAGAGTCTTTGCTCTAGAATTAAGGCAGATAGAAAATAAAATGTCATTTTTTAATCACTACATTAACCATGAAGAAGTAAAAAGAGTAAATCATTTTAACTTAACAATTGGAACATGTCTAAAATGGTTTAGATCCTATATCTCATTTGTTCATAAAACATTGGTAAATCTGTATTTCTCTGGGATCCTCAGGAAGAGTAACAACAGAGACATCTAAGTAGAGATTAAAAAATGTAATTTACCTCATCTGGGTTCCCAGCTACCATATCTCCAAGCTACAAGAGGTGGATTGACACCTTGTGGATTGAAGAGTTACAAGAGGGAAGGCTAGAGAGTATATAGTTTTTGAGAAAATCTTGTTTTAGGGGAAAGAAAGTAAAGAGGGAATCAATGGAAAGATAGGACCATATTATGATGAATCTACATAGATAGATTCTATAAAAATAGAATCTGTAGAGGTAAAACTCAAAACTTTTAATATATTATTTCACATAGACTTTCAAAGGAGGATGAGAAGAGAGTAGAATCATTACCAAATGATGGACACTGGGGAAACAGAAAAAGAACTGGTCAGTAAAAAGACAAAAGAGAATGTATTCTTCAATAAATTATCTAGGAAAAAGTATATAGATAGATAGATTAATATTGCTTCTGAAAAATTAAATTTGCTGAAGTTATTTAATTTTCCAAATGATTACACTGTCATATGGTTTGTGTCTCATTGGATACTATATCCCTTCACTTAATTAAAAAAAAAATATCTCTGTGATGCAGTGTATGGCTATGGGGTTAATTTATTTACTTTAATAGATTTTGTATATTCTATTTTATAGTAATGACAAAATATTTCTCTTCATTAAGACCAATATTGTTACATATCATATATAGATAAAACCTTTTCTTTTCTTTTTGTCTCTAATTCTCCGACACCAAATAAAACATGAGATTGTAGTACTATCCACAGAAATAAAACTGGCAATGCCATATACTTTGCTGCTGTGTCAGAATAAACAAAGCATTTAAATAAGATCTTACCTTGGGAAGCGACCAATCACGATAGCTATGGTACAGACAACACCAAACAGCAGCCCTACATTGGCAGCAAAACATATTGTAAATATATATGTACTGACCCATATGCCCTGAAAGAGAAACAGGAAACAAAAGACGTGAGTCCTTAGGTATTCTCATCTTTCTCATGATTGCTAAACTCCTCACAATCTTATTCTACAACATTCCTGTGACCAAATCTCTCAGCAAGAATATATTATTTAAGAAGTGCTAAACAGAGGCCCAGGAACATAGAAACAAATCCTGGCCCCATCAGACTCTCTCAGCAGCAGAGGTGGGGAAAAGGTGCATTCTTTTATTTCTAGACACTGCCAATCCTTACCTCAATCCCTAACAAACACTTTATTTAAGATCTGTGAATGGCTGATTTAAAAAGTAGGCCATAATTTCCCACTGTTTTCTCATTTAATGCGATAATATTACAAGCAATTGTTTGCAGATTTTTGGTCATTCCCAACAACGTTGTTTTTTAGCATTGCTATAAAAAGAACTAAAGTAGTTTATTACTACATAAGACTCTCAGAGCCTAATGTTAGAATGACTGACTACAACAACATGACCAAAACCACTTTTAGGTCAACTACTATAAAGATTAGTATAATTTTATTTACAATGGCCCACTTCTTGTGAAACTGTGAAAGCTAAAAAGTTAGGGCCAACTTAGTTCTTCAGAATATTTCAAAAGATTGCAAGAAAATTCTAGTTTTCCTTTAGTTGGAATTCCAACATTATCACAGTTTTGTCCACCACTTCACATTACAATTTACAACAAGATATTGTATTATAATGGCATTTCTAAGTTTATTGCTGGCAAAAAACATCTTTAAAAGCAAAATAATTTGTGAAATCCAGAAGGTTATATTTTCTAAACACAAAATCCTGCCTGTAGACCAAGAAAATTTTAGAACTCCCTTTTCCTCCAAATTCCTATGCATACAATTCTAAATTGATTTTTCTGTCCCAATAGCTGTATTATCACTTTAAAACATCTTCAACAACAGAATTCAATTCCATATGCAAATGAAAGAGTTAGAAACTTCTCTATAATCTGAAAACAGCATAGGTTCTTGGGAGGGGAGTGTAGATGTTTTTTTCAGACAAGTGTGAAACAAATGTTTCTAAAGGGCATTTTTTACTTGAAATGCTTCTCCTTTGTCTGTATTATTTATCTACATTGAGTTTGAGTCATTCTTAATGAGGGGCTATTTTGAAAAGCTAAGCCTTTGGAGGTAAATGGAGGGATTTTTTATCTGCAAAATTCCTTTTGATACAGAAGAAACAAACATTCTGGAGTAAAAGTAAAAGAAAAAAACATGAGAGTATTCTCATGTTAAGATCCATCACCTACAAATGTAATGCTAAGTTAGCACTTACTGTTACATCATCCTCAGCCCATCATCTGACAGGTTAGACACTGAGATGCTCCTCCTCTATTCAGCTGAATAGACAGCCATTTGAATCTTCTATTTGTACACAGTGTACTGTTTCCTTCCTAATGTATTACACTATACTTGATCATCTATAAAATAAGGCTGCAAGTTTTTGATCATTATTTCAACTTGCCATGCTTGCTCTGTTTCTCACTCATCTCTCAATGCTGACTGAACCTGTCTGGGTGTGGCAGAATAAGACCTCACCAAACGCTTTATAAGTCCAGTTCCTTCTGGCCAACCTCCACGATTCAATATAGCATAGTGAACGGAGGATCCTGGTCCCTGCCATTTAAACAACCAGAGCCTGGAGGCCATGATTCTCCAAAGCAACCAAAAATTTTGGTACCATCTGGTTCCATTTTTAAAGCATATTTACTCTCCCACAATTATCTACTGTTAGCTGGGTTTACAGTACTTAGTTATTTCCTGGGGCTACATTTACAGCTTTGAAAAAAATATCAAATGAAAATTAATAACAAGGACCAGTAAATAATTCCATTGGTTAGAATAAGTCCCAACACTATTCTGTAACAATTCCTATTAAAGATCCAAATGCTTGGTTGTTACAGTTATAAGGAATTGGTTAGCTCTTGGGCCTTTATTTTTTTTTCATTATGTGTTCCCTTCTCTATTTGGTACTCACAGGCCCTAAACACAAGCTAGCCCCAAAGCTGACCTCAAGTAGGAAACATATAAACTCTTGCTCCTTATATAAAATGCATCAGTGTAAAGCACAGTTTATCAGCTACTCGATCACTTTGCCTCTCCCTGATCCATCTGTAATCCTATTTGTTTTGGTGATTGATCTACATTACTAAATTTCTTTAGGTCTGAATTCTATCCACACTGTTCTGTTACTCAAATTCAGTTCTATGCCCACAAGTCAGGCCTCCATTTTGGATCACCATTTCCTCATTACCTCAAAGAGGGTTTTGACCTATAACTCAAAGTAGAATCATTAATATAGTGTAAAAAATTCAAAGAAAGAAAAATTTCTGATTTTTCATGCTTACATGATTTTTTAAACTTTCAACCTTTGAATTATTTCATATATATACACATCATTGGTAACTTTACTTGCATGATATTTTTGTGTGTGTGTGCCTGTGAGGAAGATCAGCCCTGAGCCAACATCTGCCAATCCTCCTCTTTTTTTTGCTGAGGAAGACTGGCCCTGGGTCAACATCCATGCCCATCCTCCTCTACTTTACGTAGGACACCACCATAGCATGGGCCGCCATGCGGTGCATTGGTGCACGCCCGGGATCCAACCGGCGAACCCCAGGCCGCCGCAGCGGAGCACGCGCACTTAACCGCTTGCGCCACCAGGCCGGCCCCTCCATGATATTTTATGTATACTCTATCTATTGAGTAATCTGGATATATTCTGTCTATTGTGTAATATAGCCTATATTCAAAAAAGTCTGCAACGTTCTTACTCCAAATGCTATGCCCAGATCATATCCCAATAATCCATGGCTTCTCACTGTCGAATTTCTTATCAACTAAGTGATACCTGTCCACTTCAACCACAGGAGACCACTGTCAAGCTAAATCCAATGTCCCATTTACTCATCATGCATCTGCTATACCCATGTCACCTTTCTCAACCTTAACTTTTGCCCATACCATACTGTCTACTTACTCCAAGTTTTCAACTATCACCCCTACACAGGAGACTACCAATTCCGAGCTGCTGTTAAACCATTTTTCAAACTGTCTACTAAATACCTTCAAAGTCAATATGTCCAAATGTAAACTCATTAACTTCATCCCCAAATCTGCCCTTCCTCCAATATTCCCTTTCAATGATAACACTAATATTCTTCAACACACTGCAATCAGAAACCTTGGAATCATATTTTACTATTTTTCCTTTTTCATCTACTTGCCCAATCATTTCCTAAGTCCTATCAATTATTAATAAAAAATATCTCAAATAATACTCTCTATTCAATTCACTGATAATGCCCTAATTCACACTTTACTGTTGCTCCCCTAGACTATTCTGACAGCCTCCTACTTAACTATCTGCTTTTGTTATCAGCACTGTAAACTATTTACCGTATTGCTGCCAGAATTACCTTTCCAAGTATAGATTTGGATATCAGTTTTAGATGGTATATTAAAGGCATTTTTACTCTACTTCCCTCTATTAAAGTCCACCAAAAACAATATAAGAACTGAATAGACAGGGAAGAAAATCCAGACAATGAAACAAGAACATGGTCACAACCCCTAACTACAAAATATGGTGTAGACTTGCCAAATACTGTGAAACTTGGAAGATACCAAGGAGGCCTCTGGAAACCAAGAAATTTATCCTCAAAGTTCAATCAATTATAGATTTCTCCATGAATGTCACAATTTTGAAAGTTCTAGACAATAACCTTCTAATGAGTGCTTTAAGTTCTAGGGGCAATGGTGGGGCACCAGAGAAGAAGGAAATGTACCCATATGGTATCCATTTGATACCATAGAAAGAAGAGCAGTAAGGTAAAATGCCATTTGTATCACTTACAACCTAGCTTCCCAACCAAAGAAAACTGACAGAGGAGGAACAAGGTGAAGAATGAGAAGAGATAGCAAGAGTCAGATCACCAGGGAGCTTGTGATTTGTAAGGCTTTGTTTCAACTAGGGACAAATCTTCAGATGATGTACCTAAATCAGAGAGGTGATTTACCTCCTGCCCTCACTTCCTACCTCCTGTCCTCACTTCCTACCTCCTGTCCTCCTCACATTATTTTTCAGCAAACAGCTAGGTCCACTGAAAATGCATTATAATCATAAAGGAATCAGCAAGGGACATATTCATACAAACAAGGAAAAGAAAGAAAGAAAACAATGAAATAGAGACAGAGGGTAGGTTTAGACATGTCATAGGCAATAAAATCTCAGGAAAAAAATCCTCAAAAGTAGACATGAATAATCAAAGAAGAAAAACTATGTTAAAAAAAGAAAAAATGGGGCTGGCCTGGTGGCATAATGGTTAACGTTCACACGCTCCACTTCAGTGGCCCGGAGATCGCAGGTTCTGATCCTGGCTGCAGACCTACGCGATGCTTATCAAGCCATGCTGTGGCGAGTGTCCCACATACAAAGTAGAGGAAGATGGGCACGGATGTTAGCCCAGGGCCAATCTTCCTCAGCAAAAAAAGAGGAGGATTGGCAACAGATGTTAGCTCAGAGCTAATCTTTCTCACCAAAAAAAAAAAAAAACCAAAAAAGAAAAACTGAAGGAGATAAAAAGCAAGCTGTAAAATTTCGAAAAGGAATTAGATGTAAATAAAAACATTACAGAGATAAAACCCATATTTAAAGCTAAAAAAATCAAATAACCACAACTAGAAATATGTAATCAAAGATACAGTGTCCAGAGAAACCACACACACACAACTCCCAAAATAATCATGGGAAAATGTATAGATATGATGAGAGACAAAATAAAATTAACAAATACTTAATTTGTTAAGAGAACAGAATATATAGATTTTAAAAATATTCAAGGATAGAAGAAAAATTGTGCATATAATTCTGGATTCTGAGATCAAAAGAATATGTCACTCTCATAGAAACTTGATACTGGGTGTTCAACCACAATAAATATTCTGATAATATTACCAAACTTCATGGGCAAGAAAGAACCTCATTAAGCATCCATTTAGAAAACAAACACATAAAATAACAAAAAAGTCGTGTTGACCTGTGATTTCCCTGCCTTATCCCTCAATGCCTGAAGATAATGCCAAGTCCAAATGCTGAGAGAAAGCACTTTAGAGTCAGCCAAAAACTTCCTTCTAGTATAAAAAGAAAACAGATATTTTCACCATGCAATAGCTCAGGGAATTAAAAACACATAAGCTCTTCTTGGAAAACTACTTGGTGATGACATACAGAAAACAGAGATGAATTGAAATAAATAACTCAGGAATGAGAACCTGTATTTAAAAAAAAAAAAAGGACTAAAGGTAATCACTTGCATTTCAACAATCTTCTATGTTCTATAACTCAATGAATCACATCATATTCCTCCAGTGATGTTCCTAACCAGAAACTTAGAAGTCATTCTAGACTGATGCACTTTATGTGAGCAATTGGTGGAGAGGGCTAACTAATGCAACCTCTTCAATATTTTTCAACTCTGTTGTCTGCTCTTGAACCTCATGGTCTCAGTTGTGGTCCAGGGCTTCCTCATTTATTTCCTAAATTACTAAAGCAGTGGTCCAATTGACGCATACTTCATCAGTTTGATCCGTCTTACTCAAATTACTCAAGTAAACTTTCTAATACATGAATCTTACTCCTATTTCTCATCTCAGTGATGCCTCACTGCCTTCAGGATGAAGTCTAATCTTCTTTGCAGGACATGAGCAGCCTTTCCCAGTCCAATCCATTCTTAACTTTTCCAACCCATCTGTTACTACTCCTACCCTCACATTATATGTTCTACCCGTCATTTCCTGGAAGAAGCCTTCCCTGATATCTCTCCCCTTCCAATATGGTAATGTCCTCCCTCTTCTGTGATTTATGAGTTCATTAGAAATATCTTTATCATAGGGGTATCTAATAGCTTAAGTTTGCATTTTCTCATTTCTCTATTTCCATGTGCTACCTCACATATATCACCTTAAAAAAGTCATGATCTTACACAAGAATTAACTCAAAATGGATTAAAAGACTTGAAGGTGAGACGTGAAACCATAAAACTCCTAGAAGAAAATATAGGCAGTACACTCTTTGACATCGGTCTTAGTAGGATCTTTTCAAATACCATATCTACTTGAGCAAGGGAAACAAAAGAAAAAATAAACTAATGAGACTTCATTAGACTAACGAGCTTCTGCAAGGCAAAGCAAACTATGAACAAAACAAAAAGACAACCGACCAACTGGGAGAAAATATTTGCAAATCATATATCCAACAAGGGGTTAATCTCCAAAATGTATAAAGAACTCATACAACTGAATAACAAAAAAACAAACAACCCGATCAAAAAATGGGCAGAGGATATGAACAGACATTTTTCCAAAGAAGATATACAGGTGGCCAACAGACACATGAAAAGATGTTCAACATCATTAATCATCAGGGAAATGCAAATCAAAACTACAATGAGCTATCACCTTACACCTGTTAGAATGGCTGTGATTACCAGGACAAAAAGCAACAAATGTTGGAGAGGATGTGGAGAAAAGGTAACCCTCATACACTGCTGGTGGGAATGCAAACTGGTGCAGCCACTATGGAAAACAGTATGGAGATTTCTCAAAAAATTAAAAATTGAAATACCATGTGATCCCGCTATTCCACTACTGGGTATTTATCCAAAAAACCTGAAATTAACAATTCAAAGAGACTTATGAACTCCTGTGTTCATAGCAGCATTATTCACAATAGCCAAGATATGGAAGCAACCCAAGTGCCCATTGACTGATGAATTGATAAACAGTATGTGGTATATATACAATAGAATACTACTCAGCCATAAAAAAAGACAAAATCGTCCCATTTGTGACAACATGGATGGAACTTGAGGGTATTATGTTAAGTGAGATAAGCCAGACAGAGAAAGACAAACACCGTATGATTTCACTCATATGTAGAAGATATAAACAAATTCGTGGACAAAGAGAACAGATTAGTGGTTACCAGAGGGGAAGGGGGTTGGAGGTGGGCCTAGGGGTAAAGGGGCACATATGTATGGTGACTGACAAATAATAACGTACAACTGAAATTTCACGGTTATAAACTATATGACACCAATAAAAAAAAAGTCATGACATTCCAACAGCCTGGCTAATTTTGGCCTCTTGGCCGGTCTACCAAATACTGTTCTTCAAGTCTCAGTTCACATTTCAGCTCTGCTGTAAGAGCCTTTCTTATTAGCCTAGCCCAAGTTAAATGCTCCAGCCTCTATTTTTCCCCATCACTAAGCTTGTACTTTTGCTTCTAGGTCATGTTGTATCATGCCTTGCATAATAAGAGTGTTTCCATGTCTGCTTCCTGCACAAATGTAAGTGTCTGGAGAGGACAAATAGATTTTTATTCATCTCTGGCACCCAGCATGTTACTTTGGTAGAACCTCAGTAATATTGAGCCTTAGGAGAAGTACTATGAAAGTAGGCTCAAGCATAAGTAATTCCCCAAAGTCTCTCAGAGTAAAAAATCTGAAGGAGGGGGAATACATAGATAATTGCATTTCAATATGGTGAATACCATAATAGAGCTAAACAATGGGAACTCATGAAATACTTCACCCGTATGGGAGAGAGAAAGAATTTTGGATGCTCTTGCATAGATACATTTCTCTAGAATAAGTTGTTAAATATTTCCGTTCGTAGAAACCACACTTTATCATTGTTCAGTATAATTTAATCTGTTCCTGGCAACACCCTGTTAACATAATGCTCCTCTTAATGTGACCCATTTAAAAGACAATTCATGAGACTTTTTGTATTTAGAATGAATACAGTCACTGTTACGATGTTCACCCTATATTAATGCAGCATATATTTCTTAGCAAGTAATGCTGGTTTTACATACATGTTATAAATGATCATATTTCCATTAGTATGTACTTCCTTGATGAGCTTCACTTCCAGAATCAATTCTTATTGGAAACTGGGAATCCCCAATCCACTCAAGTTAGCTAGCATTTCTTTAAAAGTTCTCAAACAATACATCAATCAAAATTTGACAAAATTTCATTTCTGTTTCTTATTAAGATATTTTACATTTTAATGCTTTTAGTAAGAGTATGAAAAAAATAAATGGTAATTTATAAAGTATACAAGTCTCAAATGGCTAAAACTATTTTCTGCAAGTGAAAATATTAAAGCTTATTTTCTAACATATGCTTAAGACAAAGAGGGAAAGTTTAGGTCAAATTTATACTTACCCAATCGATTTTATCCACATTCCAATATTTTTTTAAATCACGAAACTGTATTAGCATTCCCTTCAGTCCCACGACAATAATACTTGCAAGAACACACTACAAATAAGAAATAAGTTAATGAAGAAGCAAGACAAAGATTTTAATCTAAATTTAAAAGGACCAACGTATTTTTGTTTCTTTGTTTTTAAAGTATTTACGAGAGAAAAGCAAACACCATTTAGAAGACTAAAGTAATATTTGTTTTGTTTAGCACTAACCTATTATTGTCCTTTAGGAATATAATATCAATTCTAGAAAAATCACAGGATAAAATTTATGCCATTCTAAAAAACAATACAGAAAGAAAAAGAAAGGTAGTGTGATCAAAGTGGATGTTACAAGGCTAAATGTCCTCTTTATAATAATTATTCACTGCCATTTGTTTGAAATCTTTTTGTTGCAAAAAATTAAATGTTTATATCATATATTTCTTTATAATTACCTCAAGTATCAGTTATCTGGTTTCACCTGAAGATGTTAAAACTCTCTAGAAAAGTGAACTTGAATATTTGGAAGATCCTCCTGTGGAAATTATTTAATCTCACTATATGAATGAAGAATTAGAACAAGAAAGGACTGAGACAGTCTCTGCTCTCTGAAGACTGGGATCTTACTTGCACCACTTTGGTGCCCCAGGCTTATGAAAGGCAAGGTAAACACTGGTACCAGTGTTCTGAGTCACTTTGCATAAAAATGTACCAAGAGTGGCAAGGTGTATTTTGTTCCCTACTCTCTTGCCCAGCATGCATTTTCTAACAGTCCAAGTTCTGATAAAATTCTTCCAAAGTATACTTCTTATAACAGAGATTGCCTAGCTCCACCTTGCAAATGAGCACATAATAAATCTAATTCTACAATGCCAATTTTATATGAGAGCCTAAGAATTAGAAAACAGTCATGGTACCCTCCCATTCCTCCCCCATCAAATGTGGTCTCTTTCCACCTCTCCTCCATTCAACTATTATTTATGTCACATGGTTTTCAGATTTAGGATCATTGAGGTTACTCTTTGAAGAAATTTTAATATACAATGATTCTCATTAAAAGTAAAGTTAAAGAGTAGACAATGAAAAAGCACTACTGTACCATGGGCAGCCAGTAAAGCAAAGGTCCTATTGCATAGATGACTATCAGCACAAAAATGCAAGATATTAGACAAGCCACCTGTAAGATACAAGACAGACAAAAAGAAAGTTTTGACCTTTCTCATTATCCCAAAGTTATAGGGAGGGGAGAGATAATTCTTAGTTCTTCTTGATTAGAAGAAACAAAATGTTGGCACACGATTGTTAAATTGCGTAGACTGTCATCATCTATATTTTGCAGCTGAGGGAACCCAAATGAGACAGCTGACAAACTGGTGCAATCAAATTAAGTCAGTGATGAGAGAAAAGCAATTCCACACGAAGAAATAGGACACCATCAACTCTTATCACACATCACAGCAATGGCTTTTTTTGTTTAATAGTGAAAGTGACATTTCAATTAAAAGTCTTTTAGCCTGTTGCTCAACCTGACTCCCCTCCTCATTTCCTAGCGAGTTGTTCGGGTAATAACTGAATATGCCACTTAGGGTTTTTCTGTGCTAATGACAAATTCCACAGAAGCATTTACTCCCTTTGAAATTCTTTGTTAGGAAGGGCTCTAGCATGAAGCAGGTACATAGGATTGTGGGAGCAGTCCCTGCAGTGAAACAGACTTAATTTTATCAACCCTGAAAAGTCATTGGTATCATGTTCTAAACATCTCAACCTGCTGACAAAAGGCAATTAAAAACACCTAGCTAGGGGCCGGCCCCGTGGCGTAGCAGTTAAGTGTGCGCGCTCCGCTGCTGGTGGCCCAGGTTCCATCCTAGGTGTGCACCAACACACTGCTTGTCAGGCCATGCTGTGGCAGCATCCCACATAAAGTGGAGGAAGATGGGCACAGATGTTAGCCCAGGGCCAGTCTTCCTCAGCAAAAAGAGGAGGATTGGCATGGATGTTAGCTCAGGGGCTGATCTTCCTCACAAAGAAAAAAACACCTTACTCCTAGCTATGCTCCACTTGATGGAGAACCTGATTTCACATAAGCAAGTGTTCAGGACAACAAAAACATTTGGTCAAACTGTCAGCCTAACAAGAGAAAAGAGGGCTTTCACAGGACCACAAAGATGTCTCAAATATCATTATGGAGATATGAAAGGGAATCAGGACCTATTAAAATGGCTAAAATTAAAAATAAATATATAGACAAAATAAACAATATCAAGGACTGGCAAGGACTTAGAGCAACTGGAGTTCTCAGAGATTGCTGGTGGGAATGCAGTACGGTACAGCCACTTTGAAAACAGTTTGGCAGTTTCCTATGAAGTTATGCATTTACATACTGTACGTCCCAGAGCTACCTAAAAGAAATGAAAACATATGCCTATGTGAATGTCTATATGTGAATATTTATAGCAGCTTTATTCATAAACACCAAAAACTGTAAATAACTGAAATGTCTGCCAACTGGTGAATAGATAAACAAATTGTGGTACATCCATACAATAGAATACTACTCAGCAATAAAAAAAGCACAGACTATTGACACATGCAACAGCATGGATGAAACTCAAAACTACTAAACTAAGAAGGTACACACAAGTTCCTTGCATTTTTAGTGGAACTCATCTCCAGCACTCCCCAGCATATAAAGGGGAAAAAAATCTTTCTGTGGGAAATAAGTCATTAGAGAACTAAAGATTGCCCATAAAGAAGTTATAGTACACCAAACTGTCACTATGCTGACCATTTAGGACTAACTGGTGATCTTACATGATAAGAATTTTTAAACAACAAAATATGATGCCTGTCATTCCACTAGACTGGAGAGAGCTAGGTGTCAGAAGGCACATCACAGGATTCATTTAGATAGCCCAGTAAGTGACTCGGTATATCCATGTTTATATGGAAAGAAAAGGACACCAACTGCTAAGGTTTATTTCATGACAAAAGACAATGGCATGTACCCCTTCTGTGGGACTCTTCACTCATACAATTACAACATACCCGAAAATAAAACCCTTAATCTTATTTGGGGGTATGAATTTGGGACAACTAGAGTCTAAACTCCTAGGAAGGATCTGAGGCACAGAGAGGCAGAGTGACTTGCCCCAGGTCATAGACCTAGGGAGTTAGAAGGTATACAGATTATGAACTGAATTAGGATCCAAAATGCCAAATATCTTTTAAGGTTCTTAGATATTTTATAATACACTAAAGCTGTTATAGAAATTATAACAACTAAATAATTCTATTTTAGAACAGTAAACTACAACTATCTCTGGGATTTTCTCTATATAATATTTAACTTATCTTTTATTTACATGATGCTTTGTATGTACATCAATAATAACGCACCCACTGAACTACAGTTTCAGTCTTATTGCCAAAATAAGTCAAGAGTTACATGGATCTTATTTGCAAAGAGTGACAAACGATGGGTGAAAAGACTACTTGTTAATCTTACATGGTAAGTCATATAAAGAAACAGACCATATAAGCAAATGGCTTATGTCAGTTCCTTTAGTGTACTTGCCTCATCACTATTGATACCCTAGGTCAAAAGGCAAGTGCATCTAATTGGACAGAAATCCTTATCAGTTCTGCCCAGTGTATCTACTCCTCAAGCATAACAATCAATAATATAATAGTTTCTGCCCTCAAAGCTCTCCAAATACTGATGTTCTTTGTCTCCATAAATAAGAAACCCAGATGATGAAGTTTGGATTTGTAAAAAATCATTCAGATCATGCATTCCAAGCCATCATTCCACAGATGGCCAACCCAGAAATTGTACAAAGAGGTAAAACTAAGACCAGATATTTGCAGTGCTATCATAGACTTTCCAACTTCAGGTAACAACTCAATTACACTAAATTTTCAAATATCATCCACTTTCTGAATATTCATACCCTTGCATATAAAGCACTACTCTCTATATATCTCTGATCTACCAAGAGAAAAATTTTAAAGGCAAGTTATAACCAGAACAAGAGAGAGAAACTTATTCCCTTTTTTAAACTCAGAAAACAAAAAAAGCTTAAGTGCCCCCTTCTTAATAAGTTTCAGGTTAGCTTAGGTTGTAACTAGCAAAGTGTTTGCACCCTTAATTACCCATAGGGCCAATATTTTTGAGGTATTTTATTTTTTTTAACTCCATTTCATACTAACTAAATGTCCAAAGATAATTTTTTTGTTCTAGAATCATAACTACTCATATTTAAGATAGTTTTGCATACAGGATAATGAATAATCTATATTTTCTTCTGGTCATATTTTCAAACAAATACTATATATGTTGTTAGTTGCTTACAAAGACGACTCTGCAAGCATTAGTGTTACCCATACCTATATATATGACTGCAGGAAGAGTGAGATGCCAGTCATTTCCATCCTAAGCAGTTATGAAAGAATGCAAAGAAGGTTGAGAGCTCACTATATGCACAGCTTCGTGGAATGCAACAGAATGGTGCAAGAGCTGGGACAGGGCAGAAAGAGAAAAGGAGACAGGATATTGGGTAACTAAGGCTAGATTAAGAAGGCTTTAAAGAAATTGGAAGCAATAAGCCAAATTCTGAAAGAACAAAGGAATATAGTTTGGCAAATTAGAACCCAGAGGCAATCTCAGTGTTGCAGAAGAACATGCCAGCTGTCGTTCTCAGCTGTGGCTGAGCCTCGCCTGCAGCAGATGCTGCCTCTCATCCTTCATGGTTCCGTGATGCCTCCCAAACTGCCTGAAGAGCACCAGCGTATCTACTCTGTTGGAAGCAAACAGAAACATGCAGGAGAGAGAGCCAGGGGATACTGGGCTCCCTCCCATAATCGACATCCTTTAGAGGTAAGAATGGAAGGAGGACCTGCAACTCTTGTTTGTGCTGTATGTCTAGGCAGCACCAAGACTTTCTTATTCTTAGAGAAGCATGCTCTGCACGTCACATCTAAAGGGAATCACTGTAAAAAAGGTTTCCACATGTGGAGGATAGAAGTGTGTTTGGGCCTTTGACCACAGACCTTGGCATTAAGTGATCAGTATCTTCTGTTAGCCAGCCCAGGTGGTCTAGTGGTTAAGATTCGGTGCTCTCACTGCTGAGGCCTGGGTTCATTTCCCAGTTGAGGAACCACACTACCCGTCTGTCGGTTGTCATTCTATGGTTGCTGTGATGCTGAAAGCTATGCCACTGGTATTTCAAATACCACCAGGGTCACCCATGGTGGAAAGAAGGATCTGGCCATCCTGTTCTGAAAAAATTGGCCATGAAAACCCTATGAATAGCAGCAGAGCATTGTCTGATACAGCACCAGAAGGTGAGAGGATGGCCAAAAAGACTGGGCAGGGTTAGCTCTGCTGTACACAGAGTCGCTAAACGACTGAATGGCACTAACAGCAAAAATATTTTGTTATTTCAATTCAAACATTTTAATTTGATTTCTAAAGCATTGAAAGGCTTTACCATCAACTCACTTTATGTAAATGGTCCTAAATGTGCTGCTAAGATAGCCACATGTGGCTCTTGAGCATTTGAAATGTAGCTAGTCCATATTAAGATATGCTGTAAACGTAAAATATACATCAGATTTTGAAGCCTTAGTACAAAAAGAAAATAATGTAAAATATATCATTAATAATTTTTAGATAGATTCTTTGTTGAAATAACATCCTATGTTGTGTAAATCAAAATGTATTATTAAAATTAATTTATCAGTTTCTTCTACTTTGTAAAATACGACTACTAGAAAATTTAAACCACCTATGAGGCTCATATTATGTTTCTCCTGAACAGTGCTTCTCTAAATTCTATGATCCTGCAGGGGATCAGAATTGGCCACCCCAAAATGTGTCTCTTTGACTTGATAATTTTTAAGGACAAAAGACTCTGAAGGAAACTTTGACCTTCCCCCAAACTGCCTAAAAGAATTTAAGATAAAAAGCCTGTCCCAGGACAGGCCACCACCATAGATAACTCTGGATATGATAGACTGGGAGGATCCTTGCTAAGCCTATTTTTATCAAAGTTCTCCCTCTCAGGTCACATTGTCTATGGATGGCCCAGTAAACATTTGTTTATCAAACATTTGCTTTTCCATCTCCATGTGAATTGCCTTCCTCCCTTTCGAAGTCTCAAACCACTACCCCAACATCCTCCTTTGTCTTTAGCTGAAGATGGTATTTAAGGTGGTGGCTTTAGCCATCTTGGCAAGTTACTCAGTTTTCCTGAGTTTCTCCCACGTATGCATGTTATTAAACATTCTTGATTTTCTCCTGTTATTCTGTCTCATGTCAATTTAATTCTTAAACCAGCCAGAAGGACCTAGAGGGTAGAAGAATAGTTCTTCCTCCCCTACAATCCCAAGCCTGATTTCAAGTGGGATTTTTCCTGACTTCAAATGTATTATATTAAGTCACAATAAAAACTCTGCCTGGCTTGACCTGTCCCTTCTAATGTCAGCAAAACTGACTAGTTTTATAATTATTGGATATTTCATTTCTCATTCATTCATTCTGCACATAGTTATTGAACACCTAATATGTGCTGGGTCCTTGGGCTAGACACTGAGGATACAGTGAACGAAAGCAGATACAAGGCCCTGTTCTCTAGGAGCTTAAGTCAAGAGTTGAAGGTAGATATCAATCATATAATTATGCTGATGAACCTTTAATGTCCAACAAAGCTAAGGTCTCTGAAAAAAAGAACATGGTTGACCCAGAACTGTCAGTGAGATCTGAAGGATGGGAGGAGTTACGTCAGAGAGAGGGGGAGGCAGCCACAGAGACAAAGGAAACAGACCGGGGAGCCTACAAGGAAGGAAGAAGGACCATGTGACCTGAACGCTGAGAATGAGAGAGAGAACAGTCCAAGACAAGGCTGTAGAGGGAAGCACTCAGAGCTTTGTAGGTAACATAAAGGTCTGAGTTCTAAAACCTATACACAAAGCCTTTTATGGGCTTTAGGGGGAAGTAATAAGATCATATTTGCATTTTAAAAAGATAACTTTCTATGGAAATACTGGTAACATTTCTGAATAAGAAAGAGTCAGTTGGTAAAATAATTAATAAATGTAAGGTGGTTTCCACTGCTCCTTTGATTAGTTGTCATTAGCCTAAAAGTCGAAGAGCTTTTAGATTAGTCTTCTAGATTAATTTACTGGGTACAAATCCAGTCCCTAAGAGAGAGAGAGTCATTTAAGGGGTTGTTTTAGGAAGTCTCATCACATAGAAAACTGGTTTCACAAATAGCCTATTTAGAACAAAACTTTTCAGACTTGTCTTGCCCAGTGCCTTCTTCAAACCACAAGAGTTATCAGTCATATCCACAGAAACTGAACAGTTGCAATGTTAAAGGTCTAAAATGACTACCATGGGAAAGCATCCTTGATTTGGGTGTGCATGTTAAATCAGATTCCTTCTCTGAGCAATTCAGTGGGAATTGTTGAACAGATTAGCAACCACCTCAACAAGCAGAACAGCATGAAAATACTCTGCTGTCGAGGTTTGTTTCCCTGACTAGTGTTTTGTTAGATTTCTTTCATTTCTTCTGAAGTCTGATGAATAGAATACCATGTAGAATATAACTCTTAAATGAAAAGTCCTTAGAAAAGTTCTGTTGTTCTAATCATTCAAATGTGTCGCCTCCAGAACAGAGAAGGGCACCCTTCCATCCCTACCCTATTAGTTGAACAAATTTATGCCCAACTCAAATGAAAAAAGTCCCAGATATAAAAATAAACACACATTTTTCAATATACTCTCTTTTAGACATTTGATATTGAAAGTTACAAAGATTAATCAGATGGTTTTGTTATTACTACAATAGTAATTAGAAAAGCAGTAAATGCCCAAGGAAACCCCAGATGTGGAACACGCTCAAGCTGGAGGACACCTCACAGATTCTCTTCCAACTTTCTTTGTCCAAGTGATGGATAAAGATGCTAACTCACTCAAGATCCCCAGCAAGTTGGAGGGGACACTTGGACTAGAAACTGCCTTCCTGCATCCCTACCAAATCAGGATGTTTTAATATTAAATATTAAATGAAAGGTTCTGAAAATATTTTATTATAATAAAAAAAATAATAAAATCAATGATTATTGTTAACATTGAAGGAGCATTTATTTGGTGCTCGGGCGTTGTGCTAAATAAGCACATATCAACTCATTTAATCCTTATAACAACTACTTTAACAGCCGAGTCCACTTAGGCTAGAGAGGTCAAGTTACTAGTGGAAAGTCATCCAACCACTAGTGATGGAGCCAGAACACAAGCCCAGGCTCTGGAATCCATGCCCTCACCCACTCACTCTATTTATCTAGCTTGAACATGATGAGAGGAAATCTGAATATACTCATCCTCATGAGAAACCAGGAAGAAACTACTGTAGAATCCTACAATTATATAGATAGAAGAGTCCTCAGAGTAAAGGATACTTGAGTACACTACATACTAAACATTCAAATTTAGATCACAAACATTTGGGAGTACAGTTTGCAAAAATGTTTATGCCGATACACATGATGAACCTATGCTGGAAATCACTAACTGTGTGAAAATCAATCAAATTGTCACATAAAACAAAGTTGAAGGAGGATTTCACATCTTAGCTGATAAGTTGTGGCAACTGTTTGTCAAATACACTGAGAATTTGTTGCTGCTTCCCCTCTGCTCCATGGTACCTTCATTAATAATTTTATTAATTACTTTTATACTATATTTTAATGTCTGTTTTACACACCTTTCTCTTGCCACTACCCCCAAGGTCAAGAACCATATCTTTTACAAATTTATTCTTCTATAAGCCCCCAAAGCAGACTTAATATAAGGTAGACTCCTAATAAATGTTTAAATTATCACATAAAATGTTTTATAAATTCTCATTCAATTCCAATTTGAAATAAACATGAATTGTTTCAATAATGGTTAGCTGTCACTGTTAATTTCTTACATTAACATATACATGAATTTTCTTGTATGGAGCAGTGAGTAAGAGTGCAAGATTTGGAGTAAATCTATCTGGGTTCAAATCCCAGCTCTTTCACTCACTAGCTCTGTGACCTGGGTAAATTACTTCAATCCTCTTTTCCTCAATTTTCTCATGTGGAAATTGAGGATAATAATTATACTTCCTTCATAGAGTTGCCTAAAGGGTTAAATGAGTTCATTTATATAAAAAGCGTGACACAATGCCTGGCACATAACTCAATATATGCTTCCACCAACACCACAGCCATCATCTCAGCGACATCTTCTTATCATCACCCTCATCTTACCAGTACCCATTATAACACCTGGTATACAGCAGGCTCTCAATAAATGTCGAATTGATTTGAGTTCCTAAAAATATATAATAACTGTTTCTTTAAACTAAAATGTGCACAGACATCTTATTACTCATTTACATACTTGTATGTCTCTATTAACAGGAATTTCAGTGTCAAGAACTGATTTTTCAAATAATTGATTTCATTTTATTTAAAGGAAGTGAACAAAAATGGAAAATTTTCGAATTAAGATCAGCAAAAAAAAAAATCAGAGGCACCACTAGAGGGAGCTTTGGTTCAAACGTTGCCAACAATAAAGCTGCCATTAATACAGGATTTTTTAGTCTGCTCACTGAATCATTCAGCTTCTGGAAGGATCATTCACTAGAAAAAGAAGATAGACTTCCTCGAAACTAGTTAAAAAAAAGTTGAAGAAGTAAAAATATTTTCAGAACTTGAAAAAGAAGCTCACCCATTCCACTCCCCAAGGAGAGGAAAGGCCCAGGAATTCTTTGGTCCTTGAACAATGACAATACCTGTGTCTTGGCTTTGGTGCTGTAGAGGCCAGCGGTCCTTCCCATGGCGGCAGCACTTGGTATGCAGAAGAAAAATGAAGGAATCACATTGCTGAGCCCATGAGCCAAAAACTCCTACAAGATTGATCATAGGAGAATATAACATTTCTTAATCACAGTCAACATTTAGACACCACAGGTAAAACTTGGCCAAGACTGAGTCTGCTTTATATTCAACTCTGTTCTCTCCACTAGTTGTGATTTAACCATTATAATAAACATAGCTAACCTTTATTGAGTGCTTACAGTGGGCAGGAAACTGTTCTAAGCACTTTCTTATCATCACCCTCATCTTACCAGTACCCATTATAACACCTGGTATACAGCAGGTATACCAGCTTCCCTCACAAGCTTAGAGGGAAGCACAAGGTATTTATAGTCTCTTTTGCCAATTTCTCTATCTTTTAAGTCACTGCTTACTAAGGGTTTGCTCCCACCACTCCACCAATGACGAGCACAACGCCAACTCCAATGGTTAATTTCTACCTGGCCTGGCCTACAAGTGGCATCTGACACAGCTGCTCAGTCGTCCTCCCTGCAGCTTCCTTTACTTCACTTCTAGGACCTCACACCCTCCTGGTTTCCTCCTACCTCCATGGCCGCCAGGTCTCCATTTCCTTTGTGGTTCCTCCTCATCTAACCAATCACAATTATTAGACCACTTCTCTTCTCTACATGTCACCAACTGATTGCCCCTAGAAACTCAAGGGAGATTTCTGGAAGCATTTAGCTGTTTCTCCAAATTGCTTTTTTTTCTTTTTTGTTATGTTAAGGGATGCAATCACCAACCACCTTGAGCCACATGGAGCCCCAAAGCAAGAGCAGTGCCAGTGCACATGTGGAAGCATGTTTCCCAACTGAGCCTGCACGAGTGAATACCCACCTCTCCCTATTGAACATTCATTCCCCATCCGAAATAAGAGGCCCCTGCTGTCCTGTGCTGGGGAGAACCACAAATTTGGAAATGATTCTGCGTGGTCTCCTATTTCCTGCAAATAAACCCTACTTTGTGTGACAACTACTTCTGGTGGACAGTCTGATTTTAACTCACCATGAGGCAAACCCACTTCGGTTCATTAACATATCTACATCTTACCTACCCAAATATACATTGACAACTCCCAAATTTGTCCAGCCTAGACCACTCTTCTGAACTTCAAACTCATATAGCCAACCTGCTACCATATGACCAGCATTTCTACTTGGATGGCTAAGAGGAATCCCAAACTTAACTAAATTAGGCTATTGCTTTCTACCACCCACAACCTGGTCCTCCCACATTTTCCCCATCTCAAATTCCAATTACTTGGGCCAAAAGCTTTAGAGATATTCTTGACTCTTTCCTTTTTTCCCAGATGGCATCCACATCCAATCTGGAATGTGTTCACTTCTCAGCTCCTTGCTACATCCTGGTCCAAGTCATTAAATGTCACCTGGAGTATTGCAAAAGACTTCTAATGTTTTCCTTCTGCTGCTGCTGCCAGTAAACAATACAGACAATACAGACAAAACATCCCTGCCCTCATCGAGCTGGTGTTCTAGTGAGGGAATGCTAACCATAAACAAGATAAATCTGAAAAGTAAAGCAGAGAAGGGAGTGGAAAAATCTGGAGTTTAGGATTTTAGGTTACCAAGGAAGGCTCCCCTGAGAATGCAACATTTGAATAACGGAGGCATGCAGATATCTGGGGGAACAGAGTTCCTGCAAAAGGGAGCAGCATGTGCAAATGTCCTGAGCCAGAAGCATGACTGGAGGGTTCAAGGAAAAGCAAGGTGGTAAGTGTGGCTAGAATAGAGTATAAAAGGGACACAAGATCAGAGAGGAAAAGGGACAGTGACAGGTCACATAGGGCCTCATAAGTCGTGGTAAAGAGGCTTTTCATCTGAATATGATGGAAAGACACTGGGAGGTTTTGAGATGAGGAAAGACATGGTCTGTGTTGTGCACCATTGTATCCCTTGCTTCTAGACCAGTGCCTGGTACATAGTAGGGTTTAACACACATCTGTTCAATGAATAAATCTGCTTTTTTACAAATGGGCAGGCTGGGGCACAGAAATGATTAAGGCCATGTAGCGTCAGAATGAGAATCAGACACAGGTAATTTGGTGTTTGTAACTACTATCCTGCGGCTGTCCCTGCAGACCTGTGTAGGCCACTCGGCTTGAAATAAGACACTGGAGGAGTAGATCCAAAAATATGATCAATATAATCTTCATCCTTTGATATTCTAAGAATAGACCCTCACATCCTTTAGTTTTTTACTAAGAAGAATAAACAATACTAGTATTATTTGTACTTTGAAATCCATAACTTTCGAAAGTCAGCATGCAGTGATAAATATATTTGGATTCTCCCCTAAAAACAAATCAAAAAGAACATCAAGATGTCCTTCTCTCTAAAAAAAAAAAGTTATGTTATAAACAAACCCATGATGGCCAGATTTTCAGCATTCTATAAATGATTTAGAGATTTTTCTTTTGTTTTGTTCTACCCATTCTTGCTATATACTTAGGAAAGTTATATTTTCCTAAGTTCAACATTTTCAGGATGTGAGCGAACACAGTACAATGATTCAATAGCTGTGGAGAAGGGCTGGGGCATACTCCACCTGGTTGTCATCAACTGAATATTTGAATTTTTTGGCAGACCCTTGAGCAAGAGCCAGTGAGGCCACGTAGCCTACAAGTGCCACTCCGAAAGCTTCAGTGATCACTGCAGAGAGAACGTTCATTGGGGGAGCTCTAGGTGGAGGGATTCTGTGTAAAGAAAGACCATATTGAAGTCATTAACTTTCACATAATTTCTGTAACAACTTGCAATGAATTCAACTGTGGTAATGGCTCTGAAGTTTACGTTGAATAAGTGAAATACCCATAAGAAAACCAAGCAGCCTTGCCCTGAGAAGACTTTTGTTTTCAACATTATTTAGCAGAAAAGCAAAATCACAAGGAACACCACAGGGACAGCTCCATGCATCTAACTGGCATTTAAATCCAGGGAATTCAGGTTAAACCACAGAAACTGACTCCACAAAAATTTCCTGTATCAAAACAAAAGCGAATCTGGAGCATTCTTTCATTTGAACCTGTCCAAATATTTATTTGGCTGGCATTGGAGACTATATTTCCTGCCTTGAATACTACAGTGTTGTATACAAACACTAGTTTACTGTGAGCTCCAATTCTTGAATTAATCCCTAAATTTGCCATTGAGTTCGTAGTCTTAATTATGTTTTTAACTCAATCCTTTCACAGTACACTTAACTATGTATCACGTATGTTAATAAAAATATGTATAAAGGCTCCATCTATCCCCTGTTGAGAAATAAAGGACCATAGTTAACTGGTTCTCAGTTTTAAAGATCTATTTAAAATATTTCTTTCAATTAACACCCACCCATTGTCTTTTTGTCTTTTGAAAACCACTTGAGCTAAAGTATTATGGTTCATTTATCCTTGATGATGCTTTGGGAGACTTACCTCCCCTCCAAAACATAAAAAAATCCCTCTGAGGCAAAAATAGAAGAAAAAGGGAAGATAATTCATGCTGATTTAATACCTAGCACATAAATAGAATGCTTGGGCCTTTTATATTAACTGTTTCATTTAATTCTCCCAACAACCCCCAGACCAAGTGCCACTGGAGCCCTGTATGGAGGAGCAAGCGTTTTGAGAAAGGTTAGGTAATATAGCTGAAGTCACAACGTGAATGGTAGAGTTGGGATTCAATCTCAGCTCTATCTAATCTCAATGCCATGCTCTTTCTATGATTCTTGAAGACAATAGCTCTGGAAAGGTCACTCAAAATAAAGCAGAATTAGAGGAGATGGAGAAGAAGCATGATTTTTCTGCCCACTTACTAAAGTTTTCCGCCAAAACAAATTGATTTGTACCGTTACAGGCCCTAAAATATATACTATACAAAAGTGCTACTATTTCAAAGTAAAAGAACTTTTGTTTCATGAAAATTGAGCTTGCTTAATTATTAACAATAAACTGACCTAGAAAGAAACAAGAAACTGACTTGAGAGTGGAAAAGTAGAGAACCCTTTAGAAAATCCACATTGAGTCAGATAATCACCTCTAGTCTGTATCTCTACAGGCTAAAGACAAAGGATTTTTTTAAAATTATCTTTTTAATCTCTGAGAATTTTTCTACTCTTCCTCTATTTTAATGTAGTTAGAAACCAAAATTTGTGATTGAAAATAAAAGTAGAGAGGACTCAACAATTGTAACTTTGCCCCAAATTTATCAATATTGCTGTATAAACAGCCCATTAAAAGGGAATAACCCATAAGACACCCCTCTCTTTCCTAAGATGCCTTCATTTTCTTTCAGGCTATATTTGGAACAACCTTTTGCCCTTTTAGGGGAACACTTGCTCTTCTGTTAAACTTCCTCTTAGTATCCAGAGGAAGGCTTCAAGCCAGGTAGGGAACACACCCTCTTCCCCACTTCCACCCTTTCTCTCATCATTAGACACTGCCCGGGCCTATGGGTTTGCTATTTCAGACGATGCTTGTGTACTTTTACTACGTTTTAAGTGAAATAAAAATAGTCATAAGAATATGTGAGGGAAGTAGAGCAGACTAAATCCCAGAGCATGACTCTAATTTAGAAATTCAGTGCCCTCCATTTTTTTTCAAATAATATCCAAATCTTCTACCTGAAGCAATGCTGGATAAAATAGTTATCAACTTCCCTAGTAATAATAAACAGTCTAGGAAGTTACTGTTTCTCTATATGTTTATTGTTCGTGTCTATCATTTTAAAATAGGAGCTAATTAGAATTTTGTCCCATACAGGGCCTTTGAAAGAAATGAAATCCATACTCACCTAACTCTAGTCTCTTCCTCCATCAAAAACAAACAAATAAGCAGATACAAAAGAAAAAAAAGACTACATTACCCTTTTGGAATATGACCAACTACTTCTAATCCATACGTGTTTTCCATATTGGTACAATAACAAGCAAATGATGCAGCAATGATCTGTGTGGTTCCATTTGAAAAAAGAAAAACAAAATTATTACTGGCCTCTCAAACACCTTAAGACTATTTTTAAAAGTAAACATTATTCATGTGTCCCATGATTGTCAGGAGTAATATAGCAGTTGCACAGATTTTTAAAAATTAAGAAAATTTTAAAATCAAAAACTCCCTTTGAGATTTGAGAGCACTTAATTTATAGTCTCAAAAATTAAATGGCATCCCAATAATATGGCTTTTCTAATATCCTACCCTGTGTCAACCCAATTATGATTGATTTTGAAGGGGAGCAGAACATAAAATATAAGAGAGAGAGAGAGAGAGAGTGTGTGTGTGTGTGTGCAGATACCACATTCCAACCTAAAACTTGTCTTTTGTGACATGAAGGGATGCTTTATAACACAGCACATTTTCTCTCCATGACAGCAACTCCTCAAGAGTTTGAGATTATGCATCAATATTCCTATTATTGATGATTTACAATCTCCTTGAATGTTTTTGAATTTTGAGCTTTTACTATTTCTTGGAGTAAAATATGCTAGTTAATAACATGTTGGGCTCAATGCTTTTCAAACACCTCTATGGAGTCTCCGGTGCCCTCCACCCTGTTATATAAGATACATGACAAGCAAGGTCATATGTTCTCTGCCTGTAGCCATAATCACCTTTAAAATGCATGTTCAGAACCCAGTTCAGCCTTTGTTTTACCAGCCATTCCACTCCAATGTTTTCCAACTATTTTCGTATTCTCCTTTAATTCTTCTGCTAATTTTAATAGGTACTGGAAATTTCACGTGGTTATGGTATCAGTAAGGTATCCGTTTGGAACTGTTTACACTACATCTTTCTTGTTACAAGAGAGATACCAATTATCTATTTAAAGTACAAATTTAACATATACATGGACAGAAAAATGGTATAATGACATCTCACCAGCAAAATAAAGAATATCTAATAATTAATGCCCAATAATATCATTTTGTAGAGTTTTTTTCCCTTTCTGTGTATTTCTGTTCTCTGTAATGATATTTAACCGAATTTGCAGAGATTTTTAAAACAGAAAATGGACTTAAAAAGCAAAACACTCTTGAGGATTTTTTAAAAAGGCAACAAAACAGTACAGATTAAACTGTTAAACTTTATAAATATTGTGATACAATGGTATTTTCTAAAGAAGATAATAGTAGTTAATTCAGGCTAGAATCGGAAGTATTAATATATTCAAAAATTCCTAAGCCACTTAATAAATTTTAATTGCTAATAATTTTCATGAAATATTTATATGAGGTAAGAAAATATTGTGACTTGTGAAAGAAAATATACCATGGTCATAACATACTAGATCCTTATTGAAAATGGAAGAATCCATGAGGTCCAATACACATAGCCAATATTAAAATTAAGTAACCTAAGTTACTGAATTAGTCTTTCAGACAGTGTCTTACTTCCTCACTGTATTTCTTTAACATAATTAAACTCCCTTTATCAGTCGAGTCATTGGTTCCTCTTCAGTATTATTTCAATATCATATGTGTGTATAAGGCTGGCACTGCCCTTAGACCTGGGCAACAGGGGATCTGCCCCAGGCAGGCCCACTGCTTTAGGGTCCTAATCTGGCCTCCTCAACTATAGCCCTCTCCACAATTTGGGAGCTTTGTAGGGGCAAGGGGATGAAACCGGTACCCCTCTTTCTGGACCACACTCTGGATTCTCAGGAACCTATAATTTCCTGCCCAAATGGCCCCAAGCTTCCAGGGTATCTGCCCCAGGTCCATCCTCCCAGTGCGGCCCAAGAGAAGGCCAAGGGACAGTTGTGGTGGAAGCGTGGGGATGTGTTTGGAGCTTGGACACTGGGGCAGGGTATCCACACATGTACGTTTAAATCCCTGGTGGGTGGGATACAGCTGGAGTGGGAAGAGAAGGGGCAGGCCAAGGGCCTGGCTTTTCCCATGCTGCCACATTCTGGAAGAACTCAAAGGAGTAGGAGAATTCTTTATTCTAACCTGGCTTTCAAGGTAATCACTAAGGTATTTTAGTCAAGGTAGCAAAACAGAAGCTATTTTATTTAACATTTGATCTATAACTTTTAAGTATTTGGGCCAGCATTAGTACTTTTGCCTTGGGTCTTTCAAATATTAGGGGGCAACAATGCATAAGGATTACCTTTTCTTTTGCTGTAGGGATAATTCTTACTATTTTTGCAAGGAATAAGCAACTGTTTTATTACTAGCTCAAGGACCTTCTTCCCTAAGGTTATTTTCAATATTTGGTTTTATGAAACTTATGTAATAAAGCTTCGCAAGATATAATAAGCATTTCTTAATACCTATAGGACATTGGAATAAATGGTATGTTTCTGTGAAAACTAATAATCATGGTATCCTCCCCTTTTACGGCTTATTTGAAATATGCACACACACACATATATTATATATATCATATGTGTTACATGTATCTCCACAAATTATCAAGAGTATAGAGTCATACAAGGCCTAGCTATGGAGAGAGGCCACCCATCTTAGTCCTACAGAAATGAGTCATATCCCTCAGAGACACTTTCCAATGTGCTAGCCTTATATATTTATATAAATCTACACTATTTCAACAGCATGAAAGGATATTTCAATAGGTAAAATTATTTAGACACCACTTGTTGTATACATTTATAACCCAAAAACCATTAAAAAACTAAAGCCAATTAATGATAAGTAAGTTAGCAGATTGTGGTTGCATTAACATTTCATTTTCAACTTAACGCTCTGTTTAGTTAAGAGTTCCCATTAGAGGCTCTGAAAATTTAAAAACATATTTTTTTAAATTCTATTTGCCTTAGGAGCAAAGTATAATTTATTACTTTGCCAGGTACAACAAAAAAATGTCTTAGAGAACCAGCCCTGGCCAATGAAAATCATGAGTATCCTTTTAATAAAGCAATTTTAGGTCAGTAACACAAGTGTCAACAAATCTACCAATCATTAAGAGAAATTTGTCAATTAATAATATTTCTATGCATATCATACAGATGCCATATCAATAGGACGTGGTATCACTTTATATTGTTTTAGGAAGAATCAAGCCAGAGATCTTTTGAGTTTTACCCTTAGAAATGTCTCCTTATTGAAAATCTTAGGCTATATGTTCTCTTATTTATGTAAAAAAATTACAAGCATATGAGAAATGCTGTGTAGATTGAAAACATGTCTGCCTCCTTTTCTAAATTATTGACTCAAAATGTTTCCTGTTATTACATTAATGTATAGCCACGCAAATTAGCCCTACTCTAATGAGAGACAGAAGTAGCTTTGGGTTACTATAGACAATATAGTGAGCCTCTGCAGGTTACCTCCAACAACTGGAGAGCATCATAGGGCAGAATGCTAAATGTTGATATCATACTTACCAAAACTAAATCGACAGGAAGAACAACTTTAATTTTCCTTTTAAACTGTTCATTCAGCTCTTTAACCAGAACAAGCACCACGATGCTCAGCAAGGATAGGAGCAGAGCCTCCAATTGGACAGACTTGATGTTCTCAAAGACATATGCATAGATCTACAGTGAGGAAGAGAGACACACATAAATTCAGGTCACCTGTAATATGACAACATCGAAATCTGGGCCCAAATGAACTCAGTGATGTTTTGCAAAAATACCTTAAGGGGTAGGGAAAGGAAAGGTGGGGCTGTCTACATCAGTGCTGACGTAGAGCAAAGCTCTAATTCATTTGCATGTATAAAATTGCTTTCCCTTGATTCTTCCATCTAACTCAGCTTTACTCCTTCCTACATAAGGGCACTACTACAGAGAATGACTCTTCCAGCTCCTTCCCAGACACTCAATGGGCAGAGATGCTAAAAGTCATTAGTTACGTGCAGATTCATCATGAAGAGCAGTGAGGAGACTATAGGCTCCTTTGTACCTCACCATTCTTCCTCAAACCCCCAAATCAAACCTACACATGTACAAGCCACACACGAAGGAGTTCAGAGCTGGTATTTAACTGAGATCAGATATTTGGCTTAATGTAAAATATTACTATGTTCTCAGTCATTCAGTATTTCGTTTATTTGTTTATTGCCACATACTTTACTCCAACACTATGCTCGGTTCTAGGTCTACAATGGTGAACAATTTAGATAAGCCTCAGTATTCATGGAGCTTATAGTCTAGTGCAGGAATTGCTAATTAAAGCAATAAATTAGTGCAGTAAGATGCTATGGACAGGGAAGGGGCACCTGAAGTCTGTGTGTCTTAGAGGTGTCAGTGGTCAGGGGAGCCCTTCCCAAAGAAGATAAACAGGAATCAGCCAGGTTATCAATCATGCAGGAAGTAGGGGAAGGAGTCTGGGGAAAATGTTCTGCCTAAAGAGCATGTTTGTAAAACTTAGAGCATACAATGTGAAGAAAAGAGTGTATGACTTCCTGAAAAACTACTCTTTAAAAGTAGGCAAGTCTTGGGGCTGGCCCGGTGGCACAAGCTGTTAAGTGCACGCGCTCCGCTGCGAAGGCTCAGGGTTCACCGGTTCGGATCCCGGGTGCACGCTGAAGCACCGCTTGGCAAGCCATGCTGTGGCGGCGTCCCATATAAAGTGGAGGAAGATGGGCATGGATGTTAGCCCCGGGCCAGTCTTCCTCAGCAAAAAAAGAGGAGGATTGGCAGATGTTAGCACAGGGCTGATCTTCCTCACACACACAAAAAAAGTAGGCGTCTATTTGAAATTATGCCTACATCAAAAAATTTGCTTGAAACTAGGAACAAAGTATAAATCATTTATATCAGACACTCAATATTGGTAACTTGGGAAAATCTGACTTGGCAGAAGTAGGATAAATGTCAGAGTAATGTCAAAAAAAAAGAATAAAATGAAAACCCTTTCTAAAACTGAAAGCCTGTATTTATTCAACTAAGTGTCAATAACATTTTGCTCAACAACTTAGGATCTTGTTGATAATTACATCAGCATCTGACCTACTCACAAAAAAAATAGGGTGAGATTTTAAAGAACCCTAAATTGAGTGGCAAAGGGGAAAAATAACTAGCCTAAATCCAATCCTTCTTCTCCATGAATGTTTGATATAAAGAAACCCAACTGTAATTTTATTGTCTGGAAAATTAACACAGTGACACTCAAATTCATACATAATTTAAGTGCACAAGAATAGCTAAGAAAATTTTAAAAGAAAAGAATATTGATGGGTTTATACTACATATATATATACATATGATACCAATTAAAATAACATGACACTAGTATAAAAATATATAAGAAAAATTGTAAAACAAAACCCAGAATCATATAACAGTTGTGTTATAGAAAAGATTATCCAATATACCATGTTCGAAATAAAATCAAGCAAAATAAAATAAATTCTAGATGAAAAGGGGTTAAATATAATAAAGTGAAGTCATAGAAAATGTAGACATTATTTTAAAATGGGCAGAGACACAAATACACTATTAACAAAAGAAATACAAATGGTCAATAAACATATTAATAAAGACTCAACCACCCTAGTAATCAAAGAAATGTAAATTCAAACAATAATAAAACAGCATTTTCCTTTAATCAAACTATTAATGATTTTTGAATGATAATACTCAGTGTTGGTGAAATTTGGGGGAAGAAATGGGAATTCTTCTATACTGCCCATGTGAGTATAATTTGATACAATCTTTTTGTGATCTGTTAAAACATATCACAAACTTTGAAATGTTCTATCCTTTGCCTCAGCAGCTACACTTTAGGAAAATTAAGCTATAAACATAATTAAGCTCAAGTGACAAGACCTCACTATAGGATATTCACTGAAGCATTGTTTAAAACAGCAAAAAAGAAATTGAAATCATTTAAGTACTGCAGCAAGGGACTAGGTTCACTTCACTAGGTCACATACACAATAGAATTGTCCACATCCGTTAACACAATTTTAGACAATATGTATATTTATTGACATGAAAAGGCATTCCTGTTGTGGTACTAAGTGGGAAAAACAGATTTCAAACATATATGATTTGATACTGTTATGGGCTGAATTGTGTGCCTCCCAAATTCATATGTTGAAGTCCTAACCCCCAGTACCTCAGAATGAGATAGGGCTTTAAAGAGGTAATTAAGATTAAATGTGGTCATTTGGGTGGTCCCTAATCCACTAAGACTGGTGTCCATATAAAAAGAGATTAGGACACAGACGAGAAAGACACAGTGAGAAGGCTGCCACCTGCAAGCCAAGAAGAGAGGCCTCGGACGAAATCAAACCTACCAACACCTTGATCTTGGACTTCTAGCCACCAAGACTGTGAGAAATAAATTTGTATTGTTGAAGGCACCCAGTCATTGGTATTAGTTATGGCAGTCCTAGCTAACTAATAGAGATATCTATGGATATATTTGGGACATTAATAGCTCTGTGTAAGATGTTTGTGCTTATCTGTATTTTCCATATTCTCTCATATAAATGTATATTATTTATATAATTTTAAAGGTTTTAAATAGGCCTTAACTGCTTATCTTCAACATGTCTCTTATCTCCTCTTTCTCTTGGAACATGCTGAATCTGAGCCTCATTTCTATTTGTCCACTGCAGATGTCTCAACTCTAGTTTCAGGGGATAAAAACTAGTTTTTACTTCAGTACACAGGCTATTCTTATAGTAGCCCAACTTATTGGTGTTCTTCACCCTTTCTTTTTAGCATCTCAAATATAATTTGACCACAGCTAAAAGTATTAGGTCAAAAGAACTTATATAGACTATGTTCCTTAGCATCTCTTAACATTCTGCTCAGTAGGTTTCCCAATCAAAGGATTCAACCCATCTCCTCCAGAGATCAGGAAGGATCTGATCTCTTCCTGGAGATCAGACTATCCAAACCCGAATTCTATACATTGAACATTATCGTCAACACTGTAACTCTTTCAAACAAAGAAAATGTACTCAGTTGAAATGAAGCTTCGCTGGGTGAAAGGGATCAGCGTAATGTAGGTAATCCAGAATCCCCTTTGTCCACACAGTTAAAAAAAACAACAAAAAACCCCTCTTGCGTAATCAGATGCATTAAGGAATAAATTAAGAGTCAGATAGCTTTACTCGTTATCTTTTTCACAGTATTCTATTTTTATGCCATACTACTTGAAAAGAAAATTAGGTACTAAAATATCATAGTTATCTGAAATGCAGATAATATTTTTCCTTCCTGTCTCTCTATGTTGTGGATGATAATTGTTCACAGAATTCCGACAGGAAGTGAAGCAACAGATTCCACTTCTTACAGTTACTCCTTACTCAAAACCCAGGACAAAAATCCAAAACGCTACTCAGCGAAATATATTTTATAGGGAATGGGGTTAGAAGGATGTCAAGAAAATTTTGTCCAAATGCATAGCTTTCTGATGGTTTGTCATGTTGCAAGGATAAAATTGAGAATATCATTCAGATGACTTGTCAGGAAAAAAACCAAATATACAAACGTTTTAGAGCACTTAGAGAATTATTCCTTCTGTTTTATCCATGGTATTATAAGTATGCCAGTATAAGAAGGGGAGGAAATATGCAAAATTCCCAAGCCATACCAAATTTGCTGTACTGTGCATTTTGAGAACATGTGTTTGCAGTAATAGAAATGACCACCCCAGAATGAAAGGAACGAGAAAATCCCCCAGGGTTTTTATTGTCTGCCTGGATTAAACTACAAGGTGTAGAGTAACGCACACCTCACAAGATGCTCCAGAAGAACCTGGGGGTTGGCAGAGGCTTGTTACAACCAGCATGAGGAACACAATGGAAAAGTAGGCTGGTGAGGAGTGTCAGCCTAATGACTGTCATGTGGACCCACATAGAGCAGTCGCAGCTAAGGAGATGGATGGCACATGGACACAGAGATGGGGATGGGGATGGGAATGTGCACACACACATAATTCCATTGGCTCATTTAATATAGGTCCAGGCATCCTAAGCACACATGGAAGTCTCTCATTTCTGGTATAAATCCAGTCATCTGAGGATGCTATCACACACTAAGCTCCGGCAGATAAAAATTCCTATTGAGGATCATCATTCGCTTCCCAGATCTCAGAAAAGCAAAGAGAGTTTATGTTTGTATGGATAAATAAGTAAGCTATTTCATCAGAACTGAGCGATCTGCTTAATAAAACAGGAGTTTAGCTCATTTTGAGACTATAATACTAGTTCTTTAAATTGACCGTTTATTATAACGATACAAAACTAAAAATATCAATATGTGTAAACAAACCCATTTTGAGATATTTCAAAGAATGAAAATAGCCTGTCCAAAGTACATTTTGCTTCATGTTGTTTTCTTTGGAGGGGAGCCTTCTGAAGCACTTAATGAACATTTACACACACAATTCATTTATATAATGTGTTTTTATCTGATTTGTCCATTCTTTATAATTTTTTTTTTCACTGATGGATTCTCAACTCCTAGAACACTGTCTGGCAGATAATAGGCAGTCAACAGATATTGTTGAATGAATGAATACTTGGGTCTCACACAGTAATAGTAACAATAAATCGGTAAACAGGAGTAGCTTTTAC